GGTGATATTGGCGTTTAATGTTGATTAATGATGATTATTATTGGTGATTATTGATGATTATTGGTGATTATTGGTGTTTAATGATGATTATTGATGATTGTTTTGCTGATTAATGATGATTATTGATGATTATTGATGATTACTGGTGATTATTGGTGTTTAATGATGATTATTGATGATTGTTTTGCTGATTAATGATGATTATTAGTGATTATTGATGATTATTGGTGATTATTAGTGATTGGTTGTCTTCAGTCTTCATGCCAAGTGCAGCAGATGTACAGTGAGTTAGAGGAGAGTGTCTAGGTTTATTCTCTGCTAAAACACCTTCCTCTGGCCTAGATTAATATGCGCACTATAAATATACCTTTCGTTCCACTGTTCCAGCTTTCCGCCCCAAAAACAGCATTACTGAAGCAGCCAATGGCGTGAGTTTGGGGGCGTGGCCTTCTATTCCGCTGACCTATGGCAGGAAACCTTTCTGTGCTAATCAAGATTAGCATTGCTGTTTTTTCAAAACAAATGCATGCCATTTTAAACGCTGTCTGTGTGTTGATTTGCCTTTCTATCTAACCAACCAAACATGCTAAAACATGCTAGCAGCGCTCTTAAACATGCTAGAATCATGCTTCAACATATTAACATGATTTTGCTAATGTTTTAACATCATGAAACATGTTAGAGACATTCTAGAAATCTGCTAGCGACACTCTAAAACATGCTAGCAATGTGTTAACATATTAAAGCTTTAGCTGTTCTCTTAAACATGCTAAAAACATGGAAATAGCATGCTTAAACATGTGCAGTGTGCAATGTGTGAAATCATTCAGTCTATTTCTGTTTGTCTGTCTAAGCTTAAAGCACTAATCTACAACAGAAATAGGTGTAAGCATCATGCTAAAACATGCTAGCATTGTGTCAAACATGGCTGCAATGTTCCAGTGTTCCAATGTTAAAACATGTTAAGGAAATGTTGAAATGGTGAAACGTGAGAAACTCATTGAAATGCTCTCAACACGTTCAAAGATGCTAGCAAAGTTAGGGTAGGTGTCAGTTTGAGAATGTTAGCTGTGTGTAGTGCTGTGGGTTTTGCTTATCTCTGTTCTTCATATGTGTTGAGCTGCTTCTTCAGCACAGCAGAGCTGAGGTTAAGTAAATGTCTATAATTAAACCATGCTAAATATTTGAAAGTGCTACAACATATTACAGCATGCTAACACTTCTAACTTAAAATGCTTCAAGCTTTGCGCTCCGGCTGCTCCTCAGTTTGTTTTGCGGAGTTATTTGAGCTGTGTTTCAGCATCATGTGTGATTAGCGAGCGGTCTGTGTGTACAAGCCGGACAGGAGAGTGTGTGCAGCCGCACGCTAGCTATGAGTGAAACTTAAACAGTCACTTAACTGATCCACTTTACAGTCCGCATCAACCAGAAGCAGCGGCCGTTATATGTTCATATTGTGCCGCAGTTCCTGGAGAAACGAGATATTAAACTAGTAAACAGTGGGCGTGGCTTGATTTTTCTACTGTGAGCTGATTGGATGCAGTAAAGTAGGAGTTTCATTCAGAAAGATGGGGGAACCCAACCTAACAGACTCCTCCTCCTCCTCACCATTTCTGTTTGTTGTCATAGCAACTGACAGCTGAAGGGGCGTGGTTAAGTGTGTTAGCCCCACCCACTACCTCAGACAGACCTAATGAGCTGCAGAGATGAACTGATCAGCACAGAGCGGCACTGTGAGCCAACAGCACCAGAACGGTTAGCCATGATTTAGTGTGGACTTTACGTCCTCATACCAGCCGAGACCATCAATAATAAAGGTGTTCTGGTGTGTGTTCACCTTCAGGAAGGGCTCTAGGTGCTCATTGTCCTGGTGTGTGTGTGTGTGTGTGTGTGTGTGTGTGTGTGTGTGTGTTGGAAATGGCCTGATTTCCTGCAGCCGGTTCGTGGCTGACATTTGTAGGCTGACGGCTGTATTTTTAGCTCTTTTCACAGCGTTGGATTGAGCCGGAGTGCAGAGCTCATGTGCAGTCACATTCACTGCTTCAGCGTCCGTGTGTGTGAGTGTGTGTGTGTGTGTGTGTGTTCTGAGTTTCTCTTTCAGACTGACCTCAGATCTGACTCTAACAGACTGACCTCCCAGACAGCATGTGAATGTGGGCCACTTTAGGCAGTTCTGCAGCACTGCTGCTCTTCCTTTGGCACAGACATAATGAATGAGCCTGAAGTGGTCCACCTGTGCAATGGCAGAGTGGGCCAAAGACTCAAATCCATTTATGGGCCATTTAAGGCAAAGATTTGGCCCTTATGGCAGAATGTAATCTGAATGTGAGTCTAATGTGGCCCATGTGGAAAATCATCAATTTGGCCCAAAAGATGGAGGACAAGCGTGAGGCACAGTTGGAAAAAATGTGGCCTAGTCATTTAAGGGGAATCTGGGTCTAAACCTAAAGTGGCCCACGTGCAGGTGCAAATGTGGCCCAGTTATCTTAAGACATGTGTGGGCCACTTTTGGCAAATCTTTGGCACAGTTAGCTCTGGCTATTGCGGCTGTGAGCCTAAAACGGCCCAGATAAAATATAGGGCAAACGTGGCCCAGTTATCTTAAAATATATGTGGAGCACATAGACTAAAGTCTCCATCATGGAGAACAGTGTTTGCTTTAGTTGGGCTCACAGTCCTGAAACTCTTTATATAAATGTTCTTTTGGGCTGCTGTAACTTTGAAGAACTTTGCTTGAAAAGTTTATTCAATACCGCAAACAAGCCAAGAAAAACAAAACACAAAATAAAGAATAAACTGAAGTGAGGCACCACCTGTGATGAAGTAATATACTTCTCTGGTGTTCACCAATGTTCAGTCCATTATTAGCAGTACCGTAATAACGGTGTAATAATAAAGGTGTTGGCCAGATCTGGGCCAGAATAAAAGCAGAACAGGGTCAGTTCTGGTTCATTTGGTTGAATTCTGGCTGATATGTGGCATTGCTTTGGCTTTGTGGCCCAGATCCATCATTCCATTCAGTATGTGGTCCAGATCTAAGTGTCTGGTGTGGGCCGGATTTGAGCCACATGAATTTTGCTAGCTGGGCTAAGATCTGACTCTGACAGACTGACCTCAGATCTGACTCTGACAGACTGACCTCAGATCTGACTCTGACAGACTGACCTCAGATCTGACTCTGACAGACTGACCTCAGATCTGACTCTGACAGACTGACCTCAGATCTGACTCTGATAGACTGACCTCAGATCTGACTCTGACCTCCAGCTCTTCAACTGGTTTTTTGGCACTGAACACATTTTTAGGCTTTGAGATCTTAATAAAGGTCTTGATAAATGATCATATTGACATGTTTAGCTGATATTTATTGATGATTTCAGACGCTTCAGATTTAGATCATAATTTTAATCCATTTAAATGTAAATGATGATATTTCTACAGTCCTCTGTAGTGCTTTCATAAACCCTCAAATACTGAATTAATGCTGTCAAACACTTTATTTTTTATTTGTTTGATTTACATATGAAGAGTGGTGTGTGTGTGTGTGTGTGTGTGTGTGTGTGTGTGTGTGTGTGTGTGTGTGTGTGTGTGTGTGTGTGTGTGTGTGTGTGTGTGTTTGTGTGTGTGTGTGTGTGTGTGTGTGTGTGTCTGACCAGTGAAGGACTGTGTGTGTCTGACCAGTGGAGTAAGTGTGTGTGTGTCTGACCAGGGGAGGTGTGTGTGATTGACCAGAGGACCTTTTGCCCTGACCAGTGGAACCCTAACCCTAGTGGACGTCTCCACAGCAACCCCCTAACCAAAGGTCCCCTCCACAGTGACCACCGACCCCTAACCCTATCAAACAGCTCCACAGTGACACGCTAACCCTAGCAGATAACTCCACATTAACCCCCTAACCACAGACCTCCTCGACAGAAAGCCCTAACCCTAACCCTTAGCTCTAGTGGACAGTTCAATAGTGGAACCCTAACCCTAGTGGACGGCTCCACAGTGACCAACTAAACCTAAACCTAGCGGACAGCTCGACAGTGACCCCGTTACCATAACGCTAGCGCATGGCTTTACAGTGACTCCCTAAACTCAGTGGATGGCAACACAGTTACCCCTAAACCCTAGTAAACGACTCCACAGTGACCCCCTAACTCTAGCCCCAGTAGAAGGCACTGCAGTGACCCCCTAACCCTAGCTCATTGCTCTACAGTGACCCCCTAACCTTAGTGGATGGCAACACAGCTACCTCCACACCCTAGTGAACAACTCTACAGTAACCCCCGAACCCTAACCCTAGTTGGGAGCTCTACAGTGATCCCATAACTCTGACCCTAGTAGATGGCTCGACAGTGACCCCCTAAACCTAAACCTAACCCTAACCCTGGCAGATGGTCTACATGGACATGGCTGAATGTATCGCTGAGGATCTGCTCCTGCTAGTATGTCGAGTGGGAATACACATGAAGAGCCTGACTCAGGGAACCCGCTCATATCCCAGCTGATGGCGGACCTCTGCCAGCCGCTAAAAGTCGAACAAGTCAAGTAAAACCCATCAGACTGGTAGAAGATCTCTACTGAAGTCTACGGTAGTGTCTGCTGTAGTGTTGAAGATGACTGGAACTCCTGCCTCCCTGTGTGCCCCTCAGCATCCAGAGAGTCACTGTGCTCAAGGTGCTGGCAGGCTAGAGGACTACACGACAGCCACGACAGCATACACTCAGTCCATTCTGGACAACGGATTATTCCTAGAATATCAGAACTGAGGCAGTGGACCGCTTTCAGCGCACAGTTCAGGAGGCAGACACACTCTGTCAGTGTTAAACTAGACTAAAGACTGCTCTGCTGATCACTGTGGCTGGAGACGCTCTTCTGCAGATCATCCGTCAACACTGACATCTACACTCAACTGAACTCAAGCAGTGTTGATTTAACTCCAGCACTCCAGCTCTCTACACTGCGCTCCTGCTGTGCATGTGCTGGAAGGTTCTCAGATACTGATTTGGATATTTTACTCTATTCCTGATGTTCATCTACACTGCTGCTGGGATTAGCTGGACGCTGATCCCCGGATGCAGCCCTGATGGAGGACACTGGAGCAGTGGTATAACCTGTGGAGATGCAAAACCGAACCCGAAACCAGAGAGACAACGCCTCATTCAGGCCAGGACAACACTCACTGCACTATTAAGCCAACACTGCTGGACATATCCGACAGCCCTGATGGAGCTGGACAGGTCAGTGTGTAGAAATGGAGGTGTGTGATGTTCTGTTCTGGGTGTTCTGATACACACACACTCCTCTACTGCAGTTTATTCCTTTCAGCGCTCTATGACTCTAGAT